GGGAGTGCTTTGTGGGGTTTATTTCGCTGAAAAGAAAACAGCAAAGAATGCTGCTGCCGGGGGCCTCCTGGGTAGCTTTGCCGGGCAGTACCCTGTTGTCAGATGCTGCAGCAGGGGGGGCCCCCCTGCTGCTGGGGCCCCGTGCTGCAGCAGCAGCAAAAGTGTTGTGTCCGAATTACTTGTCCCTTTTTTCTTTTGCTGAAGAAGTTAAAACAAAAAAGGGTACAGTTTTTGTACTCTCTGTTTCGCAGGGGGCCTCGGGGGGCCCCCGGGAGCAGCTGAGCCCTTTTTTTGAGGGTTTTACCCTCAAGCCTTTGCAGCCAAACAAATAAATACCATTTAATCCAATTTTTTCTTTTTTTTTCTTTTTGGACGTTTCTAAACACTCCTTTGCAAATCTTTTCTCTTTTTTGGTCTTTTTGAATCCACTTTATCATAATAGTTCCTTGTATTTCTATTTTTTTTGCCATTTTCTGCATTTATAGGTAATCAATTCAAATAATAAATGCAAGTAAATGTTAATAAATGGTAATAAATAACAACCAATAAACAATAAATAGTAATAAATAAATAGTAGTAAACAACTAATATATAATAATAAGAAAATATAAATTAAACCACTAATAAATAGTACTATTAAGTGACAACTATGGCAAATAGCTGTAAGTGATAAATAATAACTAAGTGTAGTGAACAACTAATAAATTGTAATGAATAATAATAGTAATAAGTAATAATAGTGACAAATTTTAGTAAATAATGACAAGTAACTGGTACTAAATATGCTAATAAATAACCATTAACTACTATCAAATAAATGGCAATAAATAATAATAATAAGATGCAGTTTATGAATAATGACCAAGACTAAGTACAGTAGTAACTAATAAATAATGAAATATAAACAGTAACAGATAGTAATAACAATAAGTAGGAAATGAACAATAACGAACACCAAAACAGTAATAAATAACTAATAATGAATAAATAGAAAAAAAATAATAATAAAAAGTGGGAAGTAAATAATAAATACAATAGTAATGAGTTGTTTTGCGCTCGAGTGAGAACAGGATTTCAGTGTACATACACCCGAAACAGGAAACGAAAAAGAGAGCGGCCCGAATTCGTTTTTTGGACTTTTGCAAAAGGCCCTTCGAAATGATTTACTTTGGGACTTTGCGCCATTATTTGGAGGCTTTTTGTCTCTTTAGGAGCGGAGAAAAATAAATTGAATTTGCAGATTCAATAAATGCTTTTTGCGCAGCCCCGCGTTTCAGGTGTACCTACACCCGAAGCCCGAGAGCGAAACGAGCCCTCGGCGGGTTTTTCGCTGCAATTCAGAACAGAATTATCATTTAAAAGTTTAATATCTAAATAGTGAATGTTGAAAGAGCACTTTATTTATTGTCTTTCCCCTTCGGCAAGAACAGATGCTCGAAGAGGTGTACGTACACCGCAAATGCACTCTGGGACATCCATACTTAGAAATGCAAAGAAGATACTTCCAATTTGCAAAATAAAAATATGTTTCCATTTATTTCCACTTTTATTCTTCTGATTCCACTTTAATAGACACTTCTGGGCACTTTCGGGGTTTCGCAGAAGCCGGCGTTTACTCGCGGTGTACACACTCGGGGTGTACGTACACCGCAGCTTTCCCGCAAACTGCACTTTCCGCGAAAGTCCAAAAATGGAATTTCCACTTTTGCGAAATTACACAAACGCGAATTTAAATGAAGATCCGGATTTGCATGCACCAAGTTTTTAAGTGTACAGACACCGAATGCAATTACAGAAATGAATTTTAAATGACTTTCCTTTTGTTGCATGCATGCTAGTGCATGCAACGCAAATGCAATTTAACTGTCTCGAAGGAAGAAGACCCACGGAGAAGTTTGCAAAGACTAAATAAAGCGGAAAAGAGTAAATGAATTTAAATTATTTAAATGTTAAATGCAGAACAACAGAAAGTAAACCCCGAAAGCAGTACACTGCGTCGGGGTGTCTGTACATAACCTGAAACGGCGGCTGGGGTCATTTCGCGTCATTTTTCGCCGATTTTTCCCAAAATAAATATCATTTTTAATTTTCTTTTCGAATTTCTCTTCCTTTTTGCAGTTAAAAGCCTTTTTCACAACTCTGATCCAGTTTTCCACTCAAACTGGAATCCGCGGGGAATACGCGGCGAAGGAGAAGAGCGCCGCGCTCACAACAGCTGTACGTACACCCCAAACAGCAAACAACTTCGACATCCATTTCAACAATTATATTCATGTTTATCTATTTTATTTATTTTTATTTATTTTAACTATCTGATTTTTTTTGTGAATATAAAAAGAAAACACCGAGAGATCGAATGCAAAACAATAATTAAACTCCAAAGGGTCTTTCCCTTTCACCAGCCATTTAATTCCATTTCAAGACCATTTTAAAACAATTTCAACCCATTTTAAAGCGTTTTAAGTCGATTTAAATTGATTTAAATTAATTTAAATCAATTTAAATTAATCTAAATCGATTGAAGACCGTCTAGATCCATTTAAAGATAAATTTAATTCATTTTGGATCCATTTGACTTGAGGGAAGCTTCAGCGGCTCCAATTGCTGCTAATCTGCTGCGGGACTCTTTCGAATTCATTACAACTCATTTTAATTGATTTAAATCTGTTTAAATCCATTTTAATTGGTTTAAACTCATTTAAAAAGATTTAAATCCATTAAAATTGATTAAAATTGATTTAAATTCCTTTAAACGGATTAAAACGAAAAAAAGTGAATTAAAATGAATTAAATTAGTGTTAATTTGTACTTACAAGAGAACACAATGGTGGCCAGCCAAGACAAGACCATGTTTCCAAACAGCTTCCAGTTCACAGAACCCAAGTTGATGCAGCGCAGCCGCCTCTTGTCCCTGCTGCTGCTGCTGCTGCTGCTGCTGCTGCTGCCTTGTGGGACCTCCAGCAGGCCCACGCCCACAGTGCTGCCCACGGCGCAGTGAGTTGTGGACAGCGGAATTCCCAACGCGCTGAACACCAGGACAGTCTGCAGCAGCAGCAGCAGCAGCAGCAGCAGGTGGAGCAGCAGCAGCAGCTCGGACACCAACCTAGCTAGCTAGCTACCTACCTAAGACTCAGCTAGCTAGCCAGCTAGCTAGCTAATAGCTAGCTGACCCAAGCAGCTCCAAGCTCCAGAGCGGACCCTCTAGCTGAAGTGATTTGCCGTAAACACCTATATCGCTAGCCAGCTAGCTACCCAGATACCCCTCAGCTAGCTATTAGCTAGCTAGCTAGCTAGCTAGCTGGCTAGCTAGCTAGCTAGCTAACCCAAGCTGCTACAAGCTCCATGGCTAATCCTCTGGCTGGAGTGATTTGCCACAAAATTCAAAGCAACATCCACATCGCTAGCTAGCCAGCTAGTTACCCCCAGCTAGCTATAAGCTAGCTAGCTAGCTAGCTAGCTCGCTGGCCCAAGCTGCCCCAAGCTACACGGCGAATCCTCTGGCTGGAGTGATTTTCTATAAAACTCAAAGCAGCCCACATCGCTAGCTAGCTAGCTAGCTCCCCAAGTAACCCCCAGCTGGCTAGCTAGCTAACAGCTAGCTAGCTAGCTAGCTAGCTAGCTAGTTAGCTGACCCAAGCTGCTCCGAGCTCCATGGCGAAGCCTCTGGCTGGAGTGATTTTGACGAGTTTGAGGCCAACAGTTCGAATGACTCTGTAGCCCCAGAGGGCCAACCCCAAAGACATGAAGAGGCCGGCCAGCAGCAAAATGAACCAGGGGGAAGATACTGCAGTAGCAGCAGCAGCAGCAGCAGCAGCAGCAGCAGCAGCAGCGGCGGGGTGATGGGAGGGGGAGGCAGGGGGGGAGGAGGCGGGAAAGGAGGGAGTTAAGAGTGAAATTTGAAGAAAAGATAATTTGGGAAAGAAAAGACAATTCTAACTGAAAAGATAATTTGCAGAAAAGGAAAAGATTGGAAAGCAAAAGAAAGAAACTGGAGAGAAAGGAGAAAGAAAGGAAAAAGAAAAGAAAAAGCGCGAAAAAGGGAGAAAATCGGGTGGGAGGGCACCTGGTTCCCTGCTGCCGCTGCCGCTGCTGCTGCTGCTGCTGCTGCTGTTGCTGTTGTAGACCGTCAAAACAGCAGCAAATGGGCCAACAGCATTTGCTGCATCGTTTGCGCTGTGAGCTATGCAGCCCAGACAAGAAGAGACAATTTGACAAGTTGAAAAATAAACTTCTGTCTCCTCGCAAAAAGCCTCGAAGCAGCTTTCTTCGGGACCTGCTTCTGCTGCTGCTGCTGCTGCTGCTGCTGACCCGTCCCCAGACGCCGCCCCTCCGCGAACAATGCCTGCGCCTCTTGCTGAAGCCTCCAACTCCTGCTGCAAACAGCAGCAGCAGCAGCAGCAGCGGCAGCAGCAGCAAGATCTAAGGACACCCGAACTCCTGCTGCTGCTGCTGCTGCAAGAACAGCGAGAGGAAGCCAAACTCCGAGCGCCCACCAATCGATAATGTGAGTTAGTTAATTGTATTTGTCTGAACTTGAATAAATAAATAAAATAAAATAAAATAAAATAATTAAAATATTATTTCAACTCTTGCCTCCGAATGGAGATCCCTAAACCACGGCATGCGCCGCCAGGCGTTTTTCAGCCTTTGTTGCAGCCGCGGCTTCTTTGCTGCTGCTGCTGGTGCTGCTGCTGCTGCTTCTGATTCTCCTGCTGCTTCTGCTGCTGCTGCTTCTGCTGCTTCTGCTGCTCCTACTGTGTCCAACGCGGGACTCAAGGCAGTGGGGCCCGTCAACTGGAATAAAAAGACAAAACCCTAAAGCCTAAACCCTAAACCCTTGAGCCCTAAGCCTCAAACCCTAAACCCCAACCCCAAACCCCAAACCCTCACCCAAAACCCTAAACCCTCACTTCAAACCCCTTCAAACCCCAAACCCTCACCCGCACCCCAAACCCTAAACCCCCACCCCACACCCCAAACCCTCGCTCGAACCCTAAACCCTAAAACCTAAACCCTAGGCCCTAAACCCTAAAAAGGCGATGGACACCTGGTTTTGCGTGGGGTTTGCGTGGCGTTTGGAGAGCATTCGTCTGTTGTTTCGGAAGTGCTTGAGTCTCCTGTTGGCGAAGAAGTAAATGAAAAGAGAAATAAAAAAAGATAAAAAAAGAGAAATGCAAAAAGCCAAAAAGACAGCCCAGCCCAAGTGCGCAGCAGCCCAGTCGCTCAGCAGGCACGGCGAGGCCGCCCGCACCCGCTGCTCCGACGCAATCCACTGCAGCAAAGCAAACAGCGCCACTTCGGGGCCCTAACTGTTCGTTTTTCTCCGTTTTTTCGTTCTAAATCCACTAAAAGGACTTTTAATTCGAAAACGGGGCTTTAAATGCACAAAAAGGCAGAAAAAAACACAAAAAATGGAGAAAATCCGACCGGGTTGAATTTCTGGAACGGAACGCGCGGGAACTTCACGGAAAAGGAGAAAATAAATGGATGAAGAGAGGCTTTTGGTTTAATTGGTTGTTATTAATTGTTTAAAATGAACAAAATGGATCCAAGAAGGAGAAAAAAGGAGAAAAAGAGAAACAAATTGGACTCCGAACGAGTGAACTGCAGGGAACACCCCCCGGACTCTCTTCGCGGAAGAAGTCCACTAAAAGAGCCGAACAAACGCAATTAATTCATTTTTAAACAACACTAATGCACTTACTTATTACATTTCGTTCAAAACGAACAAAATGAATCCAAAAAGGAGCAAAAAGGAGCAAAAACAAAGAAAAATGGACTTGAACGAAGATGTTGTTTAATTGTTTGTTGTTTTCACTTTAAATAAATAAAATGCATCCACTGGACTGACTAAATAGGAAATAAAATAAAATAAATAAAATAAACAAAATAATAAAATAGAATTCATTAACGGTTTAATTGGAGATTAACACTCGCTCAAATGAATAAAAATTTGATTAAAAGAATAAAATAAAAAACACTCAATTCCTAAACCCTAAACCCTAAACCCTAAACCCTACCTGTTCGCAAGTAGTGTTGACTTCGAAGGGATTTTTCATAACCAGAAAAACCGAGAATGTCAAGACCACGAGCCAGATGAAAAACCACAGGCACCTGAAGAAACCCCAAACCCTAAACCCTAAACCCTAAACCCTCAAGCCTATTCAGCGTTCCCCCCAAACGAACCCTAACCGCTAGCGCCTAACCCGTAACCCCCAAACCCTAAACCCTATTCGACGTTCCCCCAAACCCCTAACGGGTAAACCCTAAACCCTAAACCCTAGAACCTGCCTGGTGGCCCTTTTGAGGGGGTGTTTGGAGCGCAGGACGAAAGCCCTGAGAGCAGCAAAGAGCGCTGCAGCAGCAGCAGCAGCAGCAACTGGCGCGAGCAGCCAGGCGAGCAGCAGCGCAGCGAGCTGCTGCCAGCGCACCGCCGAGGGTTTGCCCGCCGAAACCCCAAACCCTAAAAGAGCGCCTATCACTGCATGCGTCGTCGACACCGGAAGCCCCAAACGACTCGCTATCAGCAGCCACAGCCCCGCGCCCAGGAGCGCACACAACATGCCCAGCATGAGGAGCGAGGGCTCGAGTTCGAAGGCCCCGAAGTCTGCGCGCAGTAAACCCTAAACCCTAAACCCTAAACCCTAAACCCTAAACCCTAAACCCCAAACCATAAACATCAAACCCTAAACCC